CGGAAAGATGAAACTCATTAACCGTAAAGAATGTGAAGTAAGTCACCCATTCAAAAATGCTCCAAAGTACTGTTTGGTCCGCCTTCATTGGTGAGACCTATTATACTAGGGAAGGTGTTTGGCATATGAACCTTAGATCATAAGCTCATAGCAAAACAAACAATAATCAGTGAATTTCTTCTGATCTTTTAGATTTGCTTGCTTTACTTTGTTCAATATGCAGAAATATTATATGCAGTGATAGTCACCATGCCATGAATTGGTTTGGCCAAGGCCATTAGCCGCATGGTAACGAAGAAATATATGTGCCTCTAAATCTGATACAATTATTTTTTGAACTTAAACTTTTAAGCTCAGAATACACCTGCATCCATCCAATAGTTTTCCATATTTAAAATACATATATTCCACTTCATATATGTATTTGAATGCTGGTGAAAAGTGGTCCGATCCTGGATCCAAGTTAAAGGTAGAGATGCCAGGATTTAGTGAAGTCATTCCACTTCAATGACTTTGAATACAGAATTTAATGTCACTTCAAATTATTCTTTTCTGCATCAAATAAAAAGTGACTATTCTTTGTTGATTTATATCCATTTTTACTCTTCTAAAGGTTTTGGAGAGTGTATATGAGATCATTAAAAAGCAAGTTAAAGCCATTGATGCAAAAATCATTGTGCATTTTTTGTCTTCTTGCATAGTATCTGTGTCTCATCAGTGTTAGCCAGCAGAACACATCTTTTCCTCTTTCCCATACTTGGACCGATGGGGACGTGGGGCTTGAGTGTAGGGGAAAGATGTGCCGGTCCCTCTTCTTTTCTAGGGAGGATACTTAGGGCCTGCCACACATTTCCAACTTTCTATTTTTTAAGCACTGGCTGGGACCCTCTAATTGCTTTACAAGGGTGAAGTCTTGTTTATTCAAGAGGCTCCTGATGCTCCGATACCTTTAGAAGGTCCAAAGGGCTAGCACCTTTCATTCGTCGGGTCAATGGACGCTACATGGATGCTTCATGACAGACACGATTCTAGGCACTGGAAAAAACAGCACCACACACAGACCAAGCCCCCGCTGTCAAAATGCCCACCTTCCAGTGCTCGGAGGCAGAAAATGCACAATTACACAAATATATTTCATATCGGCACAAGTTCTAGAAAGAAAAATAAAGCCAGCTAAGTCGGCAAAGAAAGGCAGAGTCCAAGGATGGATGCTTCCCGGAGGAAGGACATTCCAGGCAGAGGGAACAGCAAGCACAAAGGCTGCTCAGCAAGAAGCTGGAGGGGCTGGAGCAGAGCGCTGAGAAGGCTGAAGGGGAAGAGATGGTGAGGGGTTGTGGGTCACCTCCTGTAGGGACCGGAAGGCCATGGTGGGGATTTTGGTTTTCAGTGAAAAACCACTGAAGAGCTTTGAGCAGGAGTGACATGACTTGGGTTTAAATTAGGGGTGTCAAACTCAATCAGAGAAGGGGCCAAAATCTAAAATCCAGCCTAAATCGCGGGCCGAATGGTTTACTGGACAGTCATAAACTGTCATTGTGATGGAAACGCAGCGGAGTGCAGTGATGACAGTGCGGTGCGGGCCACATTGCAAGGCCTGGCGGGACGGATTTGGCCCGCGGGCCTTGTGTTTGACACATGTGGTTTAAATGATCATTTTCTATGCTGTTTAGCTAACCACCCAGAGAAGGTGGAAGAGGTGAATGGAGAGACAACAGGCAAGGTTCTACTGTGGTGGTGCTGGTGAAAAGTGGTCCGATCCCGGATCCAAGTTAAAGGTAGAGATGCCAGGATTTAGAGATGGATGGGAGGACGTCAGGAAAGCAGGAGAGGCACCAGGGATGAAGGAGGGCCCAAGCACCTGAAGGCATGGTCACTGGGATAGGAAGGCCCGGGAAGAAGCAGGTTTGTGAAGGGAAACCAAGGGTTCGGCCTTGGTCTTTTAAGTTTGAGCTCCTGAAGGTCTGGCTGAATGGGAAGCTGGATGCAAACATCCGGATTCCAAGAGAGAACATTCCAAGAGAGAACGGGCCTAGGGATGCAAGTCGGGAATCACCAATACACAGATGTATTCAAGCCGCAGGCCTGGCTGAAATTACCGAGGAAATGACAGGTGTCTTTCCATGCATGTGTTTACCACGTGCCGGCACCAGTGAAGTCTTTCACAGCTAAGCATTCACTTAATCTTCCTAACAACTCTGAGGTCACGTTCTATCATTATCCTCATTTCACCGAGGCACAGAGATGCTTCCGTGTCTTCCTCGAAGGCAGTGGGGGAGGGAGAGAGGAGGAGATGTGTGAAGAGGAGAGGCTCAAGAAGTGAGCTCTGGGTGCTCCAGGGCTAGGGAGTCAAGAAGATAAGCAGGAGCCAGCCAGGAGCCTTGAGGGGAGAGAAACCAGGGCTCATGGCATCCCAGAAGCCAAGCCAAGCAAGTGTCCCAGGCAGGCAGGGTGGGTCTACCGTGTCAGACGATGCCGGGAGGTGAAGTGGGCTGCGAAGTGGTAACTGACTATTGGGTGGAGAAAAGGGACTGGTGCACTCTCGCTAACCTGGTTTGGAAATGCACTCTCCCATTTTGAATGCAGGCAGAGAAATCTCAGCAGCTGAAATTTTGCCCCCAACCAAAACTTTAGATGTTTCCATGGTCGGTGCAGAAGTATTGCTTATTCTCTCCTCTGCTTCCAGAGGACAGCAGTTCGTAGGCCCACCGCCAGACCTCACCATTTGATGTATTAGTAAAGAAGTACCAATGTTATGAAATCATGCATTTTTACATTCTAATCATTGTATTCCACTATAATTGTTTTCCCCTCGTCCACTCACATATTTTGTTTTTATGCATTCAAAATATTAATCTGAGAAGGGGTTCATAACACAAGAAGAGGTTTCAGATCTCAAGCTCATCTCACTCTGAACCACGAAAAAGCAACGAAGAGCCAATGCAGGGTGGGGAACAGCGACTTCTAACCAAGGGCACCGGCCTGTCACTTAATCCGGCTTTCAACAAACTAGGGAACCACAGACACTTCCTGGTGATGGTGGGTGGAGTGGGTGAGGTCATATCACAGCTCACACTCACCAACCATGAGGCTGCAAAAGGCCATTCACTGCCAGGCATCTGTGCAGCCACCAGAACACGCCCAGCTAAGGTCCTGAGGGGCCACCCTGACTGCTTCTTCTCTCTCCACTGTTTCCACTGGAAGTGGCCCTGCCTGCTCCCCTGTCCTCCTGGGCTGCTCCGGGCTGGGCTGACCTGCTGCTCCCCTGTGACCACCCGCAGCTCTGCTCCGCCTTCACTGTGAAAACAACACCATGTCCTCCGTCCCCCACCTTTGTGTTATCCGTCCCTCCTGTCATTGGCAAAATGGAGGAATTAATAGCAAAGTCACCACTCCACACTTCTAAAACTTAGCGAGAGACACCAGCACAGGAGCCACACCCTTATTAGTTAGACTTTTACCACAAAATACGGGTCTCCTATCAGCGGAAAGAGGGTCCTAGTGGAGCTCAACCTCACAGTGCAGTTAGGAGCTTCAATTAGTTCCAGTGGAAATGCATTGAGAACAGTGACTGGCACAAGGTCAACAACACATGCATTGCTAAATCAAGACAATCTTGCCTTTTTTTCTTTCTTTCCCATCAAAGACAGTGCCAAGTAAAATGCCTCTGAAGTTTCATAAATCCAGTGTTAATCAATACAGCATTCAAGAATACACATCAACCTGATAAAATAAAGTTACAGTCACTCTTCAATTTAAAAAGAAAAAGACTAGAAACATGTTAAAGATTAAATGTAGCCCAGCTCTCCCACTTCATGATGCCCACTGCAGTCAGAGACCCAGCCCTGATTACATTATCACTCCCTCCAGGCCTAGCATCTCCGTGGCTTATACACAGGAGGGTCCTGTCTCTTCTCTGCAGAGTTTGGGGTCCATCTTATAGTACTGTTTCCTGGATGTGGGGAAATCAGTGCTATGAACTCTCTCTTCTTTACTCTTTTGTCATCAGCCTGGAGCCCCAATTTATTTTTAGCTTAGTAATGAAAGGGTGAGGAGAAATCCCCTGGCTAAAGTTCCACGGAGTTCAGAACTACTCCGAATGCGAGGTGGAAAGAGAATCAGAAATCATGGTGTATTTGTCCAGATTAGGTTGGGGGGTGGGGGAAGAAAGGGGGATTTACCAATTGAAGCCATTCACATTGAAATAAAGAGAAATTATAGAGTGCCTAGTTTCGCTCCAAGTGGCTTGGGGGCCATCTGGTCTACCCCTGTCATTTTGCAGAGAAGGAAATGGAAAGCAGAATGTCCACAGCTGCGGGAGAATATAGTTCCTCCAGAGACATAGGAGTTAAAGCACCACCTTACAGCTGCCAAGTGCCTCCCTGGGATTGCCACTCTCTCTTCAGGCGAGGGCAGGGAACAAGTCCTGCCAGTTTGAAATTTGCCTGGACAGCCAAACCCAGCTGGTTCCCCTGCCTGTCTTTGCAGTACCACTCCGACTCCTGCCTGTCTCAAGACTTGCAAGCAAATCCTACCGGGTGAAGCTCCCCCTCACCCTGCACAGGCAGCCTCAGCCCCATTTCCTGGGAAAAGGGGCACACGGCTTACAAATCTGGCCTCTCAAGCACCAAATGCCCACGCCTTTCAGCAGTCGGGATATTCTGCTGTTTTGCTAGCAATGAAGTACACAGTCCAAGAGCTGGATAAGGCTTGACCAGCTCCTCCAACCTGCCACCCCAACCCTGATCAGGCACCTCCAATCTCCAGATAAAGATCTTACTTTATCTACTCTAAGATCATTACTTTATCTACATTTAAGATCATCCTCCAGATAAAGATCTTACTACCTACTCCGACCCGTGAAAAAACGTTCACAGCATACCAAGCTTAACTAGGACAACCCACTGCCTCCCCTTTCTTAGTCATGTACAGTCACATCCAACTGTCAGAGCGCGGGCTGCACTGCAGGCTAAGGCTATGGTGGGTGCTGGGGGTTTTCTGACCTGAGAACGCAAAATGAGTCCATCCTCTGAGCGCTCCCCTTTAAGCCTCCTGGAGACTGACACAGGCTACACTGAGCTCTATTTGGCGCGTGGAGGATCCTGCTGCGTTATTGTTTCCATCACTGTGAGTAGGTGGATGTGGCAGATAGAGTTTTAGGTTTCCGGGTTCTGGTGCCAGGAGGAAGGGAAAGGTTGTAGAGTTCAAGTGCCTTCGCAGGGATTAAAATAAACAAGCAGACAACTGGTGCCTAGGCCACTCCCACCTCCTCCAGGGTTTCATCCGGAGCCGCCACCACATTCCCAGTTCCCAAACTGGAGGAGCCCCGGACACGGCAATCCTCAACACGAAGAGGGTCCACTTAGCTCCCGCCTCGCCACATCGCCTCTGTCACCTGTGGGCTTCGGTGGGTCCCAGGCCATTTTCCAGGCTGACATCCGTCTGCACCATCTCCCGCTTCAGTTCTCCGATCTGCGAGGCGATGGTGTCAATAAGCTATTCAAAGACAAAAATAGTGTGACGTCAGGAAGTGGAAGTGAAGAGGCGTGCCCAGGGCCTGGGGAACTGCAGACACTCTAGTAGGTAGGAGCATACAGATGGCAACCCCTCCCCCCCTTTTTTTTTTAAACCATGAATTTCCCCTACTCAGAGGAAAGAAATAAAAAGGGAGGGAGCAGCTTCTTCTTAGAAAGAGGAAGGACTTTGGTTTCGGTACTGCCCTATGAAGAATAATATGACGCTCAGCTTGGTTTCCCAACGAGAAAACAAAAAGGAATAAACAAATCCTGGTCAAATCAGGCCTCGACACTCATCCTGTCAAGGTGAATTCCCGGGATTAAAATTTACACAGTCATCATCCTGGCTACAGAAATAAGCATATTTTAAAGACATACACACATCTTGCAAACCAATTCCCAATGACACTAAACTTATTTCTCACTTTATTTATTTATTTATTTATTTATTTTCTGGTCAGAGAAAACTGTTAGGGAAAAGGGAAGAGAGGGGCAGCATGAGCTGGAAGTGTGTGAGTGGGTGGGTGGGTGGGTGGGTGAACCATGAGGAGAATGGAAGGGGAAAGGCGTGGTCTTATGTCCTTTACCCACATGCTGGGCAAGGGCTACATCTGTCCCTAAAGTTTGGTCTGAATTCTTGAGCCCACATACATCCACTCATTCAACAGACTCTTTCCTGGTTATAATTAGGCGCTGTATGTGTAGAGCGGCTCTGAAAGTGTGCCCCTGCTCACGATTTTTTAAAAATGTTATAAAATGTTACTGATGTCAACATGTAATTGCTTATTTTTAAAATAAATATCTTAGTGTTTTCTTCATTTACTTTCAAATACAGCAAATATCTGTAGATAAGTCCACATGAACTTTGAAGTCCTCCATCATTTTTAATAGTGTGAAGTAGTCCTGGGACTAAAAGTTTGAGAATCACGATTCTAGCTAAAGACGTGTTGTATTGCCTCCAGCAGCTTTTATCCCACCCAGATGCTGGTAGAAATTTCATTGGATGACCTGTCCCTAAGCTAGTCTAGATTGTTGACACCATCAATTCATTCACTAATTCAACCGGATTCTGTGGCCACCCACTTCTTGCCAGGCACTACAAGTATAGAGTAAGATTGACAATTCTCATGGAGATGAGACCATAGCACTTCGCAATAAGAAGTTCCAGAGTGAGCCCAGCTGGTGTGGTTCAGTGGTTTAGCATTGACCTATGAACCAGGAGGTCATGGTTTGGAGCCGCATATAGCTCGTGAGCCGCAGTTTGCCGACCACTGCCCTAGATTATTCTAAATTGTTGATCCCATCAATTCATTCACTAATTCAACCAAATTCTGTGGCCACCCACTTCTTGCCAGGCACTACAAGTATAGAGTAAGATTGACAATTCTCATGAAGATGATATCCTGGTGGAGCACAGACCATAGCACTTAGCAATAAGAAGTTCCAGAATGAGCCCAGCTGGTGTGGTTCAGTGGTTTAGCATTGACTTATGAACCAGGAGGTCATGGTTTGATTACAGGTGAGAGCACATGCCTGGGTTGTGCGGCCTGCAGGAGGCAGCCAATCAATGATTCTCTCTCATCATTGATGTTTCTATCTTTTTCATCATTGATGGTTTCTGTCTCTCCCCCTTCTTTCCTCTCTATGAAATCAATAAAAATATATTTTTTTAAAAAAGTTCCAGAATGAAAAAAGAATAGGGTGATGCTATAGGAACGAACTACTGTATAGCTAGGGTGGGGTGGTCAGGACAGAACTTGGAAGAAGTGGTGGATCTCTGAATGACAAGGTAGCCAGGAAAAGATCGAGGGAGGAGCCCTCCACACAGAGGGAGTCCCAGAGGCTGGAGAGGCATTGTGGAAGGAGAGGCAGGCAGAAACCAGATCTCTTTGGCCTTCTAGATTACAGAAACCTAGAATTTGAGTTTTTGATACTAGGAACCATTGGGGGGTTTTACATAGGAGGATGGCATTTTACTTTTTTTATGTCCTGTAAAGAGCGCCTTGGCTGCTGGCTAGAGATATTTGTAAGGGCAAGAGGACAAAGAGCAAGACCAGCGAGGAGGCAACTGCAGTGATCCCAGCAAGAGATGATGGTGGCTTGGACCAAAGTCGAGGGAGCGGCAGTGGAAGTGGAAAGAAGGGGGGAAACTCAGGAACAGTATGACATAGAAATCGAATTGAAAGATGGGGAAAAAATGGGGAAGGATTAGACTTGAGGAGGAAATCTAATTGGGCAGTGGGCAGGTTAAGTTTTAATGGAGTTGTACTAGCTATCAATTAAATGTGTTAAGTGGCTTTTGACATTCACGATGGAGCTATTTATACATTTAGAAGCCACTGGCCTACGTGTCAGTATTTCAAAGTCCTTTGTCAGGAGAGATTATCTAGGGGAGAGTGTAGATGAAGAAGGTGTCCCCATAAGTAACTCTGTGCATTCCCAACACCTAGAGGTCAGAAGGAAGGCCTCTCTGTTCTCCATGCTTGGTCCATCCCCTTTGTGTGTGACTGGGTGGGGGCTGTGGGTGAGTTTCTAGAAGCACTGGGCTTTAAAAGAGAAAATGACCAGGAGATCTCATTTGACACACATCTCAGTGGCAAAATTTTAAAAGTCTGATAATATTGGATAATATGGAAAAATAGGAACCCATATGCTGCTGGGGAGTACTGCTCACAGAGTCACTTTGGAGAGGAGTTTGCAATATCTTGTAGAGCTGTAGATACACAGACCTCCTAGTTACACAGGGTGCAGGGAGACCTTTATGAGAATATTTGCTGCCCACTACTTTTAAGAAAACCAAAGTACCATATTTTTCGGACCATAAGACGCTCCGGACCATAAGACGCACCAGTTTTTAGAGAAGGGAAATGAAGAAAAAAAGATTCTGAAACAAATAGTGTCCTAAAATATTTTATGTGCATTAAAACCCAACATCACAGTCATAAACACATGTAATCAACCCTGTAAAGTAAACAGCAGCATTTAGAACCATTTTAGAGCCAGGCAAGCACACAGAGACCACACAGAGCCGGGCAAGTAAAAAACTTTTTTTTAAAAAGTATATGTGTAGGCTATATTTGGGGGGGGGAAAGTGTGTCTTATGGTCCGAAAAATACGGTATAAGCACCTATTGGTCCATCGATAGAAGAATGGGTAAATTGAGGTATAGAATACTATACAGAAGTTAAAATTAATGAACCAGAGTGTTAATGAAAAAACATCCAGTGTAAGAAAAAGTCTTGTTAGAGTTTAGTTGAGTCAAGCTGATGACAATTGCTGGGAGGAAAAATCTCAATGGATTGAGAAAATATTCGGGAGAATGGCAGTTCTACAGCTTATTTTATACATTAGAATCAAAACAGGAGATGTAAAGGGTGTGTGTGTATGAAATCCATTGGTGGTAGATTACGGAGGCAGGAACAAACAGAGTGGGGACATCTCTGAGCTTGGATTAAAAAGTAAAAGGAAGAGACACATACTTATTTTACATTATGTCAAGTGGCTTTTCACATTCATGATGGAGCTATTTCGGTGGATACAGGATAGTTAACATTCATAGCACACAGAGATGGTATGTGAGCCACAAGATAATATGGTATCACCCTCTGGTGCCAGCAGTTGTGCCTGCAGGGGTCTAGATACTTCAAAGATATGTTATCTTAGATGTCCAAAGACAACAGACAATTTTAAAGATAAGGACTGACCTTATAAGAAGCTGTAGCCTAGGATTACCCACTCTGACCCATTGTTAGTTAGGGATTTTTATTTCAGACCACTCTCAGTGGAAAATCACAGGTAACACCACTTGGTTTCTGGATTTGCAAGGCCCACCATGGGGCCTTCACTGAACTTGTCAGGTTTATTGATAGAATGTGGCCCCTGTTTTGTCCACAATAGCTATATGCATAAAGACATATATATTGTAAATATAAAAATTCAAAAGTCTTTGTTAAAAATAAAGACAATAGCCAAGATACGGAAGCAACACAAGTGCCCATGAATAGTTGAGTAATAAAAAAACTATATATATATATATATATATATATATATATATATATATATATATATTACTCAGCCATATATATATCTATTTCATAAAAAAGAATGAAATCTTTAACCATTTGCAACAGCATGGATTAAGGGTATTAGGCTCAGTGAAATAAGTCAGTCAGAGAAAGACAGATACCATTTAATTTCACTTATATGTAGAATCTAAAGAACAAAATAAATGAACAAACTAAACTGAAACAGACTCCTAGACAGAGAGTGAACTAGTGGTTATCAGAAGGGATGGTGGTTGGGCGACTGGGAGAAAGAGGTGAGGGGATTAAGTACAAGTTGGTAGTTACAAAACAGTCACAGAAATGTAGGTAAAGCACAGGAAATAGAGCCAATAACATTGTGATAACTATGTATAGTGCCAGTTGGAGTACCGGAAGTATCAAAGGGAACACAATGTAAAATATCTGATTGTCTAAACACTAAACTTTACATCTGAATCCAATAAAAATAAAATTGAAAGAAAAGAAATATCTTTAAAAAACAGAAGCTGAAAATGGTTGCATTCAGTGTATAAGTTTAAAACCACATAACATTGTATTACTAAGTGTCTGTAGATACACACATAGATATAAAGACTACTCCAATATGCACTGTGGGGTTACACTCCTAACCCAGGACAGCAACTGACTATCTCCAGAGAAGAAATAGATGGAGGTAAAGGAGCTTAAACACGTGAGATTTTTTTTTTTAATTCTTTGAAAATTGATGGGAGCTAGACAAAGAGAAATATGGATGTGAAAGAGAAACATGGATTGGTTGTCTCCCCACGTACCTCAACCAAGGATAGGACCCAAAACCTGGGTATGTGCCCTGCCTGGGAATCCAACCTGCCACCTCGTGGTGCATGGGATGGCACTCCCAACTGCCTGAGCCACACCAGCCAGGGAGAGATTTTATTTCTTAAATGAAATGGCAAAC